TCCACTTGAAAATCTGCACAAGTCTGACACAGCTTCATTTTTGTCAAGCACTATTCACTAAACTGGGTACAGTGGCCCAGGCATGGGCCCTATTCTTAATTTACCCCTTCAATCTCAGATGGCAGTACGGTTCCACTTGAAAATTTGCACAAGTCTGACACAGCTTCATTTTTGTCAAGCACTATTCACTGAAGATTTACTGATACTGAAGTAGATAAAGCCATTAAGGCGACAGCTTTCCATTTTGGAACTTGTTCTGGAACGAAATGGACAAATTGTTCGACAGAGATCTACTTGAGCAAATCAGCAAGGCAGAACTTGACATTTTAGATAGGTCAATCCAATCTTCACTGGCATTCTTAGAGGTGCGCACAGCATTAGTTGTGGTCTATAGGGTCGACTGCCAATGAATTCCTGGTGGGGTGCCAGTTTCTTCCTTCCTTCCAACCTCAGAATGGTGATGCTAGGGCAAATTAGTGCCCAGTGCCATTTACAGAGAGGGAAGATCTTCACACAACACACACCCATCCTGGGGTAGGAGGATAGACCTTCTACTCCATGAGCGCTGGTGGTGGCAGTAGCAAACAATCCAGATACAGAGAACAATCCCTGGGTGCCAAGGCTACAGGGAAATTATGGTTGCCCTTATGCTCCGAGTCCTAAGCTGTTTCTTGGTTGAAGCAAATATCCTGGAATCCAGAACACCAATGTGCTAGGTCTGGCAGTCGTCCCCCCTTCCTTTTTTCCTTCTGTCTCAGAAAGGTACCATGGAAACAATCTGCTTATTTTATTTTATTGTTTTATGTATACATCAGCCTTCAATAGGTCGCGAGGGTAGCTTACAAAGGGTTAAAATTGTAACCAAAGAAACAAAATCATTCACACACCACAGCAAGAGCGGTTTTAAAAGCAAGCAGAATGAAAAACAAACGGAGCACGAAGACAGCAATGTAAAGGTAAAGGTAAAGGGACCCCTGACCATTAGGTCCAGTCGTGGCCGACTCTGGGGTTGCGGTGCTCATCTCGCTTTATTGGCCGAGGGAGCTGGCGTACAGCTTCTGGGTCATGTGGCCAGCATGACTAAGCCGCTTCTGGCGAACCAGAGCAGCGCACAGAAACGCCATGTACAGAGGATTAAAATGCCGGCGGGAGGAGGTAATAAAGCCTTTGCTTGGCGCTGAAATGACATCAAAATAGGAGGCAGGCAAGGTTCCCTAGGGACAGCATTCCACTGTCAGGGTGCCACTACCAAGAAGGCCCACTGCTCTGTAACCACCCAACTTAGCTCTGATGGTGTGGGTGCCAAAAGAAAGATATCCACTCAACTTTGTAGTATAGGAGCAGCCACATGTGGAGGCAAGTAGTACTTCGCAGTCACAAGCCCTGAAGTTAAAGGCAGTGACTCACCAAGGTTTGTATTCCATTACAAACTTCAGCATCACTCTGAATGGCTCAAAGATGCAGTTTCAGTTGTGAATGACTGTGATCCCCTGATCAGCTAATTTGTTGCTGGCTCAGTTGAGGTTGAAGTCAAACACAAAGTAGATTGTTGCAAGACTGAAGTTGGTCCACATTTGTTATTTATTTTAGTATTACATTTATATTCTGCCTTTCCTCCAAGGTGCTCAAAGTGGCATACATGGTTCTCCTCCTTCCCATATTATAATTACAAGAACCTTATGAAGTTACAAGCAAACTTCATAACCTAGTAGGGATGTGAACCCTGTTCTCCCACATCTTAGTCCTGCACTCTAACAACTCCTCCATACTGGCTCTATCTCAAATAGCAATGGTAAACCAATTAAGACGGCCTGCCAGTGGCTGCAACTCTGGAGAATCCTCTTAACTAGAAAACCAAGAACAATGATCTAAAGTGGAAATCTTCAACAAAACATTCTAATGTCACACTCAAAAACAACAACCCAGAAGATTGAGTAATGCAAGGAACTAAATTATGCAACAAGAACATGCTTGTTCAATTATATTACTTTGTTGTAAATCTTTTAAACTGAATGAGAATGGTGACAGGACAGTGTCAGATGCGGCAGAAGAAAGGACGGGAAAACCAGAAGCACAATTTTTGTGGCAGAAAATTAACAGGAAAGTTTGGACTACCCTTTAGAAATATCTGCTATTTCTAGCCAGTTATCTGCTACGAAGCTACTGAGTCTTGGAAGATTTGGGCTGGCTGCTGAGACTTGGTGCTTATTGTGTTGCAGTCACAGCTATTTCCTGCAAAAACTCTTTTGAAAACTGTGGTATTTTGCATTAGCTGCCAAATTCTGCTGTGAATATCTTCTTTTTGCAGTAATAAAGAGAACTGAAAGAGGGCTAGAGCAACTGTTTTATCTTAGGAATCCTTGGCAAAGCATTTCAATTCTGCTCATGCACCTGCACCCCTATTCATTACAATTATAATGCATTTAGGTGTCTTTGCTGCAAAATTTTAGCCTTGATAGGTGGAATGGGTGGGTGCGGGGAGACTAATTGCTTTTGAAGAGGCACATCAGAAACCTAAATGAGTCCACAATATGTTCTTCCCATTTATCTTGCTTGACAAGGAATGCTTCTAAGGGAAAGACATATTGAAAATCAAATTATCTCTTATTAATTGCTCCCACTCAACTGTACTTCGATACAAAATAGAAGTATAAGGAGAAAAGGTGCAAATCATCACTGAACCAAGATTCAAAAGAGCTCATTTCTTTCTGCACCAAAGCAACCTACAGGAACATTGCAAAAATGCACATGCGGAAGGTTTTAGTTTAACCTTTCCATATCCAGGTCAGGGTTGCATAAACCGAACCATCTTTGGGGGAAAAAACCCATATCTGTTTTTTGTCAGCTTGCCTTGAAATGGGAAAGTATCTGTTTTTATGATACCGTGCAGCTTGGATGGTAGGTTTACAGAGCCCAAAAGAGTGCAGCTAACTGATGCAAAAGAATAAGCTGTTGTTTGTCTTTTCACAAGTTTTTGGCAGATAGTCAAGATGCAGGAGGAATTTTAGACATTATAAGAGAGAATGATTGCAGTGGCTGAAAAGAGTCGTTGCTTAAGCAAGCACAGTGCAAACTTCCTTTTGTGCGTTGCTGCAGCTATGCAACCCACATCATGATCTATGCCAGTGCACTTCATTAGGCCTCCGGCAATGCCATGCTACTCCAGTACTGGATAAAGGGCAGAGCTCTATCAATGCATATTCATCTGCAGGCATGCTGCAGTGCCAGTAATATCAGCTTTTCTTAACCCAAGCTTTCAGAAAGTACTAACACTGCACTATCTCACTACTTAACACTTTCCAGGCACCTTTGCGTACTTTAAAAGGCTGGCCATTTTCCAGAGGCTAAAAGAAATGTGGTAGAGAAACAACACAACATCACCCCACCAAAATCAATTTATTTCAGAGCATCGCCTAAGAACATATGGTACAAACTTCCCATAGATTGGCAAGCAGAAACTTCGGCAGAATTCTTGTACAAATTCCTTAGTGTCAACATGGACCCCGTTAAGTTCTGTGTTAAAAAAGTCAACACACACAACAATAATAAATATTCAATTTTCTTAAACCACTTCTATGAGCGTTGTTTAAGCCTCCAACAAATAGTAGCTTCACTTTTTTTTTTAAAAAAGGTCAATGTTGTATTGAGCTATACTTTGCAGTAATAACATAAAACGACAAATACTATAAAGTTGCAAACAAGCTAGCGTATGTAATTTTGAATCTCTGTGCATTTGATAAGTCTGAGGTAGTCTAACTGAACAATGCTAACCCTGGCTGAGGAGCCATGGGCTCTAAAGGAGGAAGAGCCAATGTATATCAAGCCCCAGATCTTATGCTGGTCAGGGTGGAAGGTTGTGGGTAGTTTTGCTGTGCCAAATCCAAGCTGATGCCACAGAGGGAGCTTCTTGTGGGATTCGTTTGCCTTTGGATGCAGCAGATACAAACCTGGAAGGATGGCTAGTCACTCACCACATTCACCAAAGAGAGGCACCATCCTTAAAAATACTCAGGACACAATAAAGTGATGTTGCCAAATAAACAATCCTTCTGCTACCATAGCACTAGGAAACTCCTACCAAAAGGCTTAATGGGTTGTATTCAATCGGTGCCCCTCTGCTGACAAAAAGCTCTTGGATCTAGGCAGAGCCTTAGCACAACAGGGACAGAGGCAAATTTCAGAGGTTCTCCCTCCCCTCCCACAGCCTCCTCCAGGCAACCTGCTCCAGAAGTCCGTGAGACCCTTTGCAGCAGCATGAGAGGTGGTTTTGGGGTTGTTGGGAGCTGTGAATCACTGAAGATTGCCTTGGTCCCTGTTCCGCTGACAAAAGGCCATCCAAAGAGCTGTCCAACGTGAAACCGTAGTGCATGCCCAAAACAAGTGTACCATCCCCGAGGGCAAATACAGATAAAAGAAGACCACACCCCTCTGTCACATTTTCTTTTTGCAATAATAAAGAGAACTGAAAAGAGGGTTAGAGCAACTGTGGTGTCTTAGGGTTTCTTGGCAAAGCATTTCAATTCTGCCCATGCATAATTATGCCCACCCTCCAAAAAGAATACTGGTAATGACTGCAGAGGTGGGTAGGGATCACCCCTGTAGCTGTGCTGTGATTCCTAGCTATTCTTGAAGGCCAAAACACACAGATCACCACCACCACACGTTGACTGCAAAATGTAGCCTTACAACAGAGAAACACAACTGTGGTGTGTATCAGGCTTATCTCTTCCTCTTTATTTTACTTAGTCTCAGAATACCTAGCTCTGCTTTGGCTCATGTCCCTGCCCCTTTCAGAAAATAAATAAGCAGGTGTCTGACCTTTGGGGACTGCCCTTTGGCTACAAAAACAGCCTTTGTATTTGTGAGGTTGCTTTGACGAAACAGCCATATGGGATGGATGGACACACTCCAAGAAACCTGAGAATCTCCAGTTAAATAAACTGGATAAAGTAAAGTTGGGCAAATAAGAAGTTTTTAAAGGTCTCCGAAATCGTGCTTACTTCTCTATTAAATCCAGCGTGACTCCCGGTACCAGTCTCACACTCTTCTGCATGGAAAACCTGCAGATGAAAAAAGAGAGAGTATATAAGTAAATCACGCTAATTAAACCTATAATGACAGGCTACCCAAAAGGTTCCATGGCAGTAATTGAGTTTCTCATTATTAGAATGCTTTCGTAAAAACAAAACAAAACAAGTTTGCTACAGCATAGCAGGAAGGAGCATTTGCTGCACTTGTGATTCTGCAGTGGTTTCCATCATTAGTGTCAAGCCTATGTGCTTCAACTACCATAGTGACAAGTTTGGAAGAGGGAGGGACAGCAAGAGGAGGAGAAAGTTTTGGTCATTTGCCACAACTTCTAGGGAGCATGGACAAAGCATTGAATAAAACTGAACTAATAGAGTAATGTGGTTTGGTAGCTGGAGTTCCCCAGAGAACAGATGCTGAAAGAAGCAGCACTGGGGAATGAGTCAATAAAGAAATGCCTTGCTAAAACACCTCCATTCATAGAAGAGTTTGCTGGGAAGGGACCAATAGAGCATTTATTGTAATTATTCCCTCCAATTTCAACAGTTTAACCTATTCAGTCCAGACAACAGTGCACCACACTGGGAGTGAACAGATGCTTCCAAATGACTCACTCAAGCAAAAAACACGTAAGATATGGCCTCTGGCCAAAGATTTGGCAAGTTGTTTCAAATCAATATGAACTTCGTCTCTCCCTTCTGCGCCTTTCTCTGATGCCCTCACTACTCTAGAGCACTTCTTCCAGCCAGTACAAAAAAAATGTCCGGGTTCAAGCCCAAATGGAAACAGCAACTGTTACCAAGAGGACCTCATTCAATGGTGAGAGAGATGAATTCTGAACCTTCTCAGGGTCACATTCATCTAGTCTCACTTCATATTCTCCAGGATTAAAGCCTGAAAACAAATTTCAGGGTTTAGCAGAAGCACAAAGCAAGCTCTGGTTCCAGCTCTCCATTGCTCTAACAGCTTACCAGCTTCCTTTCGCCTGCTGCCAACTCAACCTTCATCTTCTACCTTTCCAAGACCCATGTTTTCTTTTATTTCCTTTCGTTTGCCACATCCCTCCATCTCCATAGAATCAAAACTATGATAGAGACCCTTCTGTCTGCTCAGACCTTTTGTGTGTGTTTGATGTTAGGGCAGCTTAGCCAAATACTGCCAGTGGCTTCACCACCTTTGCCAAATACCTAATTGCATTACAATATACATATTGATTTCTCACTTCACCGTAAATGCAGCAATCAGAGCATTACTTCTGCTCTTTAGTGTTTATTTTACACTAGTCATGCACTAACTGCTTTACAAACATAAAGCCAATGCCATTCCTGTGCAGAAGACAAAAAAATTGTTGTGGCAGCCTCTCTGTCATCAGATGTATGAATTTCTGTACATTATAAAAGTGTGTATCTACTTTGCATTAATGCATAATATATTGTCCCTGCTTTGACTATATATCACCCGCTCTGACTATATATTCCATACCCTTCCAATTTTCCTTCTCATCTGGCTGACCTTGAAATGCTATAAAGCATTTTTGTGAGTGCAGTGATGACCAGTATACATGATAGGGTCTTTTAATTTTCTTATCCATGTGCATCTTTCACCATATTATTTTGTTTCTTATGTCCAGTGTTAGAAACTCAGATATATAAGCTAATCTCCATATGGCACATTAAACCTAAGTTGCAGTCACCACAATGGAATTTCTAGGCACCACTTCCCACCCAGTGGCTATTGTTGTTACTATTATTACTACTAGTAGTAGTATTTTAAACAACAAATCTCAAATCTCAAATAAAAAATCCAAAGTAAAACAAATTCAAGCTTCAAGGAAAAATATTTCAGCTTCTTCTCTAAGTGACATTTTGCTTTCCCCAGTCACCAGCCTGGCATCCAGAGATCTCTGCGTGGTCACAGTTGGACCCGTGCCAGACACAAAATGTGCCTTGCACCTGGCTAATTTTGAACACTGCTTATGTCTTTAGCTATATTTATACACATTTCTTGGGGGGGGGGGAAATAAAATTTATGTTTTGTTTTTGACAGCCAAAACTGGGAGAGGAAAAGGAGATAGGATGCAGGCAAATGAGTAGTGAGGCTAGGAAGAACCAAGGCTGGCTGCTACAACAAGTCACATCCATTTAGGAAAGAGAACATAGCTTAGTGGAATAACATCTGCTTTGCATGCAGAAGGTCTCATATTCAATATCCAGGAAGGGCTGGGGGGAATACTAGTGTGGTGCTGCCAGTGAGTGTAAACAGTACTGAGCTAAATGGACTAATGGACTATAGGCGTGGACACAGGAAGACAGCTTCCTGTGTCCACGCCTATAGTTTTCCTTGATTGGTTTCTGATTCCACAGTACCAGCATCCATCTAATCCATGCTTTCCTCTAACACCATCCATTAAATTTCTGCCTTCAACCTACCACTCTCTACAGAGAAGATTACCAAGCAAAAGAATGTAGGTAACCTTTCGCAAGGATCACAAATGATGCATGTTCAGTGTCCTGAAATTTAGCTGCAACGTTGACACGGATGTACTAATTGATATGCAGCTATAGGCACTGGCAAATGTTAAAGACCAGCTATTTGATGGTCAATGACACAACGGGAACATAGTATTTCCACGGAAATCTTCAGTCACCTATGACCTTAACTCACTCAGCTTATTTTTTGAAATCTGATGGAATGGCCTTAAAGGGGTACAACAGTTTCTGGCCGCCGTAGTTCCATTCTCTTTTATTAGGGCCCTTGCAGTCTCTTCCAAGCTATACCTCCTAGGCCTCAGGATTGAACGGCAGCCACCTGCCTCAATCCAGACAGCCCTTGTCATGAGCTACCAAAACTTATACCTCGATTCAGTAGGCTTTTGATTAGGATTTGCTGGTTCAGCTTTGGCAGGCCTCCCATGTACCTAATGGAGTGGGGAAAGTGACAATGTGTCAAGTGCATCATTTGGTCTCTCTCTCTCTCTCTCTCTCTCTCTCTTTCTTTCTTTCTTTCTTTCAAATTATGGTGCACATCTGGGGTCAATGATATTTTCACACAAACTCTGCACATTAAAAAGCTGTCATTTTGTTCTGCCCCTCTAGGGCACTGAACAAAAGCGTATGAGCAGGATGTAAATAAAGCTGACTTCAGAAATTTCAAGGGGGCTTTCAGCTTCTTGAAGGAAACATAATAATGAATCAGGTCACTCTGCTTTTGATTAGTAAGGAAAACACCCTTTCTGGGGCATAGTCAGTTCACCATGGTATTCAGCGTAATGGCACAAACTCAGCAAGCACTCGCAGCTTTCATGTTCAGAGGGCTGCAACTGCCACAGGTCTGCTATCATACTTCAGAATAGATTAGTGGAGGAAATGCTCTTAGTGCTCTCCTTTAATGAGCCCCTGCTGTCTCCAGACTAAATCTCCACATGGCAAACTAGTTTATACCTGCCACTCTGTTAGGGACACCCTGTATTTTCTCTCAAGAATAACAAAGACAAAACACTTTTCTTGTGTTCCTTCTTCATCCATAGCTACTTCTGAAACAACCAGCTATGAAATAAAACAATGATGTGCTAGCATGACAGGAGGAGATAAAAAAAAAGGTCTAAGTGTTGTATAAATATTGTGGTAAACATGGGTGACTTGGAAGGCACACAGAGATAGCACTCAGAAAAGCCTCAGGATAAAAACCAATATTGGCAATGTTTTTGTTTCAAACTTCTTAAACAGTACACCAAATGAAATGTAGAACTTGCCTTTCAGACCACTTATCTAGAGTACTTTAAAATGCAGACACTCAGCAAAAATTAAATTCCAAATGCTTCTTTTTACTAGTCATCAGTAAGTGGCTATAGGGAAATAGGGCTGGTTAAAAGAAGAAGAAAATAGTAAAAGTCAAAGTACTGAAGAAGAGAGAGAGAGAGAGAGAGAGAGAGACAGACAGACAGACAGACAGACAGACAGACAGACAGAGACAGAGACAGAGAGCAGGGTCAGGAGTATAATATATAGATAGGGTTGAAATCAGAACCTCTTTGTTCAAATCTCTACTCCACAATGAAGCTTTTGGGGAAGCTTCATTTTGCCCACAATGCAAAAGCAGGATATGAATGATTGGCATACACCAGATTGGCAGACAGCTACTTTGTTCCTCCCACCATAGAATTCAGCATTTAAGCATAGTTTCCTGTTATATGTGTGCCTGGAAACTATGGTTAACAGCTTCAAAATAAGTCAGGATAGTTAGTCAACTTAAAACCATGGCTTGACATCCTGCTTTATTTTTAAGTCATTGGTCATAGGGTGTTAGGGGAGGGGTAGTACCTCTGGTGGGGGACACATCGTACTCCTGCGGTAGCTTGTCCACCTTTGGTCTCCATTCTGCACTCAGCTCTCTCCTGTGGTTCCAAGAAGCCACCAGCACGTAACAGCAGCCACACCCCAAGAAGTGGCTTTGACTAGCTGGCTAAACCAGGTGAGGGTAGCTGATGGGTTTCAAGCCCTCAGTGAGTTAGGGACTTCCCTGCATGCGAAGACAAGTTCCGGTGGATTGAGCGGATGAAAACAATAGAGGGTCCAATGGTCGAGAAGGAACATGTTGTAGAGGGAAATGTGGAGCAGATGGAACTCATCAGCCTGGGGAGGCAGTCACCTAGGAGAAGGAAAATTCTGACCCTAAACCAGGCTTCCTCAACCTCAGCCCTCCAGAAGTTTTTGGCTTACAACTCCCATGATCCCTAGCTAGCAGGAACAGTGGTTAGGGATGATGGGAATTGTAGTCTCAAAACATCTGGAGGGCCGAGGTTGAGGAAGCCTATCCTAAACCTCTGCTTGCCTTGCAGCTATACCCATTCATGGCTTTGGGAGTAAACCCTGAGGAAAAATCTATATCCACTGCATGGTGGGACATCTTTGGGAGAAGAAAGGGCTAAGAAGTAAACACTACACAAATCTGGAGTGGAGTCCCTAGGATGGAGTCGTGCACACCTCCTTTCAGCAACTCCTGCAACCAAGTTGCTGCCAAATGTATTTCTCTG